ATGTATGTATGTATACATGTATGTATGTATGTATATATATATATATACATGTATGTATATATATATAAAAGGTTAATATATGTATGCACACACGCACGCGCGCGCACACACACGTTCTATTTGAAAAATCTCATTCATCCTAATGAGTGAATTAAAAATTCAACACGAACTACAACGAACTATGACTAACTTCATCTTAATCATGAATAATGGAAGCTTACAATACAATGGATGGGGAAGAAAAATGAAAAATAATTCAAGTGAAACCCTAGCTTTTTTCTCCCTCCCCTCCAAAAATTTTTCTTGTGTAAGACCTTGAGCCATCACTTCATCTTCTTTAATGTAAGCCTTAAAAGCAATAATTATGCTTCCCACCACTAACTACACACAACATCTCTAGTTCAAATTTCACACACACTAATCACTCACCCTTTCAATCTTTCACCCACTGATGCACATTTGCCTTTTTTGCTCTTTGGCTTCATTGCTCTCATTATTTGACTTTCTTATCGGGCCAAAACCAGTCCCTTTATCTTTTATTATTTTAACTCACCATCATATATACGTATATTTTATTTAATCAATATAATTTATTTATTAAATCATATAGTTTATATTATAATATATTTATTCTAAAAGCATTATTTCCCAAACTAGAAATGCTCTATTAATGTGGATCAATAAATCTTACAATTATACTCAAAATAATTATGCTATTTGATTTCAGTTATTTAATATTTCCTTATTTAGATAAAATTTTGTTTAAATGGAATTAAACTAAATGAGTTTGAATGTCAGCCATAATTATTTGTTATTACTTTTAGTATGTTTTATAACATGAGAACTCTTAATTACCTTACTAGTTTTGTATTAAATATAATTAATCGAGTTAATAATTTATTAAAGTTAATCATAAATGATTATCATGCTTGATTAATAATTATTTATCTTATGATTTTTAGGGCGTCTTTCGTCGAATTGCCATAAAATTGTAACTAATTTATGGATGATCCCATCATCTTTTCTAAGCTAATCAGGCCACCCCAAATAAATCATTGAGTTAATTCTACTTCAAGGCAGCGTGTTTCGTTCACATGTTATTGATAAAAATAATTAGCACTTTAATACAATTATGATACTTATCAGTTAAGCTTCTCAAAATTTATAAATAAATCTTAATTGTGCTCTTTTATAATGTTATGAACTTTTGAATCATGTAAAGTTTCTAAACCTATAACTATCATCCAAAATTCTCATTCTTCCTCAACTGTATTTTTTTATACGTACATCAACCTCCTTTAAGAAAAAAAAAATCCTCACCTCCTTCGACCACTTCCATGACTTTCTTGCAGCACCTCGACCTTTAGTTTTGAGTTATGCGATCTTTACCTTAATGGGATGACAAATGTGATCGTCATCAAATGGTCCCCATGATATGTAAATTTCATTTCACGCCTTGTTTTTACTGTCTTCTCCACCTCCAGAAGGAGAACCATCACGAATGCCTTCAATTACTTCCACAACCTCTTTATTTTGCCTCACCCATCACTTTTTATTGTTCCATCTTAATCACCAAAAGGAAGACCTCTCAACTTCCTCCAGTAATCCATACAACCTTTCAGTACCTCACTGATCACTTTCAAGTCATGCCATCTCCACCTATAAATCGAAGGTTATCCTAATTGCCTTCAATTATTTCTATGGCATTTCCATGTTGTTTTACACAACATCTTATGGTCATACCATCCTCAATTTCAGAGAAGAATAATCTTTACCCTCATATCCTACTTTGTGTACATAAGACGTATGAAACACTGCGTACGTCAGAGGTTATTCAGGGGGTACAAGGGGTTATATCCGGGTTATACTCCTCTGTAAACTCCATGTAACGCTCTTATAAATTCCGTGTAACTTATTTGTACCAATGAAATTACAGAAGCGCGGAACGCATTTGTAGCTTACATGTAGTTTACAAAGATGTTACATGAGATTTACAGAGGGATATAAACCTGATATAACCTCCTGTACCCCCTGAATAACCCCTGGATGTACGCAGCGCTGTGTACGTCTTATGTACGCAAATATTTTTCCTCTAGGACATGCAAATACAACGCTAAAGCAAGGTTGACTGAGTAGAAAGTGCATAATGGAGCAACGATCTAGAAATTTAGAAGCTCATTTGTCAAAAA